ACAACAGCTATATAATTAAATATTCTGGTATTTAAGGTACAAATGACAATTTTGGTAGCACAGTGGCTAAATGGTTAGCACTTCTACCTGGCAGTACTAGGGTTGTTGGTTCAAATCCCAACCATGGCACCACCTGCCTGCAGTTTACATGTTCTCCCTATGCCTGTGTGGGTTTCTCTGGGTACTCCAGTTCCCTCCCACACTCCACAGACATGCTGGTAGGTTAATTAGATCTTGTCAAAATTGGCCCTAGTATTTGTATGTATGAATGTAAGTTTAGGGACCTTAAATTGTACGCCCCTTGAAGGCAGGGACTGATGTGAATATACACTATATAAGTAAAGCGCTGCGTAAATTGATAGTGCTATTAATAAGTACCTGAAATAAATAAATAAATTCTGACCTCAACCTCACTAGTAAAGTAACTGAAAGAACATACATGATGTGAAAATTGCAGTGATCCATAACAATCAGATTTGTGTTACTCTTGTTAATATGCTCATATGTGTGAATTTGAAATAACACTCTTGGCTCCTCCTCTTCCTAGTGTGTCCCCAAAGCAAGTCGTTTGCTATGGAGGCACACAGTGCACACTCCTGACCTGAGTGTCTATGGAGACTTAGTCCCTCCCCCCACTTTCCCACTGCATTTGATTGACAGAAAGAGGAGCCAATGGCTCCTGCTGCTGCTTGAGTACTGTGTGAAGAGGAAGAGAGGGGAGGAACAGATGCAGAAATTAAAATTTTTTTTTTTTATTTTAATGCAAGAAATGCTTTTAGCTTTAGTATCACTTTAAAGCAAAAGTAAAGTGTATCTGAGCACCACAAATGGAAAACTCTATTAATGTTTAATATTTAAAACAAACTTAGCCATCCACTAATATTCCCTATGCTTTATTTTGTTGATAAATCACTTTTAACCCCCCCCCCCCCCCCAGCATTTCCGGCTTTGGCCATCCTAAAGTGGAGCTCCACCCAAAAGGGGAAGTTTCGCTTTAAGGACTTGTCCCCAGCTCCCAGTTCAGGATTGGCACCTTTGGGGAGCCAGGGGGAGCAGGTTCCCAAAACTGACAGGTACTCATTCCCACTTCTGCTGCAATTGCCTTGGTGATCAAAAGTGGAAATTGTCCTCCCCCCTCCCTCCCCATAGTCTTGTGGGACATGTGACAGGTCCCAGAAGATTACAGGACCATTAGCAAAGCTCAGCAGTACTCGCGCATGCGCAGTGGGCATCTGGCTGTGAAGCTGCAAGCTCTCACAGCTAGGTGCCCACTCTGAAGATGCCAGTGCTGGGAACACAGGATGTCCTGTGAAACAGGCTGCGTGGAGGACATCACGGGATCATGGGACAGGTGAGTGGCTGTTTTTTAAAAGTCAGTAGCTAAAGTTTTTGTAACTGCTGACTTTTATTTTTTTACAGTTTGACTGGAACTCTGCTTTACATAAGGGCAGATGATTAATGTAGCACTTCCTAGAATCCATCTGCCCCTAGCTCAGGCATGCAGGCAGGAGAGTGTGCTTAGCTGAGAAAGCACCTCCTCCCCTCCTCCAGATGAAAGAAAACATGCAGATGAAGACTCCTGGGATGTATGACATCATTCTGACCTAGGCCACAATTCAGGAGGCAACTAAGGAAATGTAGAGAAAAAAAATTAAAACAAGTAAATATGATATACCTTCTTATCTATTTACTAATGCTAGCAGCATGAGGATTAAAAATAGCTAATGTTGATTAAGACAGTTTACTTCCGCTTTAAGTAATGGTTCCAAGTCTTGCTGTTCAAATGAGACATTTAAAAATAGGTTGCAAGTAAAGCAGACTAGATATTAATTACCAGTTAGCATATGAAAGAGAAATGATCAGTCCAGGAATTTGTAGGTTTTGATAAATCCTTAATAAGGTTGGCACTTGGAGGACAAACCATAGAGGATGTGGTTATCTTTAACCATGGGTTGCAGGAAAGAAACTCGCTCAATTCCCCCATCACCACAGTCAGTGTTGATGGGAAAATCCCTCTCCTGGAGCCATTGTGTTCTCCCAGCAGGGGAGTTTTCCCTGCTGGGAGAGCACAATGATGACTGCTAGTGGCTATAGCCGCCGGCAGTAATTGCATACTAAAAAATCCGACAGGTTGAATTTTCCCAAGTCACTCATTGGATTGACATCAGTACAACTAGCCTTTCCATAGATGGTCCCTGCTGAACCGGCTGAGATTCAATCCATCTATGGCCGACTTAAGCAGATACCTAAGCTAATAATGTGTATATCCTGACACTACTGAGGAGATTGATTAGTTTATGGATGCCTACACTGATCAAACATCCTGCACTGAATCACAAGTATAATGACTGTAAATGCATATGGATCCTTATTATTTGGCCTCAAAATAAGTAATGCATATGGCACCTTACATTTAACCAGGGTAACTAGACATTATTTGATATATATGAAACAGTGAAGTGGCGAGCGAGTGACCAGATATGATTATTGCACCACATCCCTTCAAACTGCAAATAATCAATAGAGAAGATGGGACTTTCAGGGTGCATAGACATGAATACCACACATTTTAAAGTTATATCATTTTTATTTCATATTTTGGTAAAACATAAGAAAGGAAAAAATACAAAAACATAAAAACAATTTAAATTCTAAGAATACCAACTGAGATTCAAACTTGGTTAGGTAAATGTAGTATACTCCCTACATGTTTCGCCCTCACGGGCTTCTTCAGGGAAATTTTTTGAGGAAATTTCTACCGCCAAGGCAGTCCTGGATGTGAAAGCTCACAGAGCTAGAAGAAAATGACCTAAAAAATCTTAATTGGCCTACACGTCCAAAACAGTTGTAGAAGATATAATGGGCATCAGATATCATCTGTTAAATATTGCAATTCAAGTAGAAAGGAAAATGTAGGGAAAAAGGATTTTAATTGAGGATCGTCTGGACTTTTGTCCTTTGCTGATATCTGGTGGTGGAATTGAAAATTGATCCTCAATTAAAATCCATTTTCCCTACATTTTCCTTTCTACTTGAATTGCAATATTTAACAGATGATATCTGATGCCCATTATATCCTCTACAACTGTTTTGGACGTGTAGGCCAATTAAGATTTTTTAGGTCATTTTCTTCTAGCTCTGTGAGCTTTCACATCCAGGACTGCCTTGGCGGTAGAAATTTCCTAAAAAAATCTCCCCTGAAGAAGCCCGTGAGGGCGAAACATGTAGGGAGTATACTACATTTACCTAACCAAGTTTGAATCTCAGTTGGTATTCTTAGAATTTAAATTGTTTTTATGTTTTTGTATTTTTTCCTTTCTTGTGTTTTACCAAAATACGAAATAAAAATTATATAACTTTTAATGTGTGGTATTCATGTCTATGCACCCTGAAAGTCCCATCTTCTCTATTGATTATTATTTGATATATATTGAGTTACTCTAGCAGCTGGTGAGAGAAAATAACATTACCCACCTTTTCGAAAAATACTGTGAAATCATATAAGTATTAGACATGGCAGACAGTGGATGATTGACTGTTTTTATATTACAGAGAGACAAGTTTACAGTTTCCCAATGAAGGAAGCTGTAAAGGGTACCTAGCTGATACTGGACATCGCTATCTCAAACCAGACAGCATTAGATCGAATCATGCCCGATTAATCAGCTATAAGCATAATGTTTTCTGTCCATGTGCATTTTAGAAGGTGAGCCAACTGATGGGTTACTTGACATTGCTTGCTCAAACATGTCATCTGTGTTTACTGTAGGAGGTTATTATGTCATTGAGTGTAGCTATCATATAATGTGGCTGCTAGAAAGAACTAGAGTGCCGCATTTAAATGTAGAGGAAACAGAACAAGTTACTATAAATATAGATGAACAACCTACTATTGGAAATACAGATAAATTAGAAATGTATTTATTATTTAGAAATTAATTAAAATATAGCTAACCATAGTGTACTATATGGACAATTAGCATACTACATATATTCAAGATGAAGACCATTAACAAAAGCGTAGGTACATCACATATCTGTCCCTTTAATGCACATGTACTAATTAATTGAGTAATTTTGAAGGATTTATAAAAAAAATAGCAGGTAAGAAAAAGAAATGCATTGCCTGTAAAGCCAATTAGGTGTTATATTGGACATAGATATCATAGACAGTATAACAAGTAAGCTTGATCCAACCATTTTTGGCACAGCTTCCACTAACAAAGAAGCGTTCAGCTTACATAAGCATTCCCATTTAAAGGGAAATTTCACCCCCCATAATTTTAACCCCTTCTTACCTTACTTGCTGGGTTGGCTGCAATCAACATACTCACACACCCAGCAAATCCAGCATTGTTCTTTTGGATGCCAATGCTGCCACATGGCATGACCCCAAGTTGAATTTTTTCTTCTACTGTATGTCATCAAGAGGCAGCTGTCTCTTCTGGGTTCTTGCAGCCGGCCCCGATTATGTTCTGCCAGATCTACTCTCCATCCGCTGTGTATCCCTGCAACTGCAGTCTCCTATGATACAGTATGTAACAAAGAATGCCATAAGGCTGCAGAAGCAGGGAAACATCATTGCTGCCTAGCTGAGAATGGAGGCAGGGGGCTCCTTTTTTATCTGGTGGAGGGGTGGGTGGAGGCGGGGAAGGTTGTCTTTGGAGTAAGGTTCCACTTTAAGTAATGGAGGTGGAGCATCAAAGGTCGCAAGCTTATCTCAGGAAACAATAGTGGTCAAACAAAGCTTTCTAGCATATTCAGTCACCTTCAGGTGATGTTTGTGCTAGAATTATTGATTCTGCCCTATAGACATTAGATTATTGCTTAGTCTTGCAGAAATTGCCAGATTTACAGCAAGTCGTGCACATTATATCGATACTCTTAGCCTTAAAGTGTTACTAAACTCACAACAGTAAAATCAGTCTGTATATGCAGTAAAGCATGCTTGCTATACTCACTGTGGAACCTAATGGGTTAATCCTCTGCATTGTGTAAAAATGCTGTTTGATCCTGTCTTCTCTGATCCACCCCTTCTTCCAGTATCCCCCTCTTATCTCCTGAGAAGACATATTGTGTGGAGACACTCTGCATATGCTCAGTTTGGTGTGTATTGCTAGAGAGGGTTATTTTTTTTCTTGGGAGAGTGCATGTGATCAGCACAGGGCCAATCAGCACTGTCCAGACAGAGGTCAGGGGTTCTACGTCCTCTTAGAGCAGAAAGAAAACTCCTCCTACAAGCTTTAACCAGTGCTCTGCTGGACACTGATAGAAGTCACAAGTAACTGCTGATGAGAAAAGGGATTTAGCAGTTTATATTTACTAAAATAATTGCATTTCCATATTCTGAGTACTGTGGGAGACCAGACATAGTTTAGTAACACTTTTAATAAAAGCCCACACTAAAAAAAATTATGGCTGATATTTAACTGTTTCAAGTAGACAAAAACAACATTTTAATTTCAGGTTTTTGCTTATTAAACTGCATGCCAGCATAGTTTAGGTTTCTGCAATCAGTTTATTTTATAGAGTGTCAGGGGATGGAGAGGACACATTCACAGAAAAACTGTCTGACCCCATGAAGGCAAAATCCCAGACAGACGTGCTTTCACACGGGACAGGAGAAGTAAGTCACATGTTCACGCCTACCTACAGTAGATGTACCAGATATTTCACTTAGATCCCAGTGGCTGAATGGAGAAGGGGGGGGGGGCTGAATGAGAGGTGAGGGCAGTTAAAGTGGAACAACTTCACTCTCTCAGTCAACATTGACTATTTGTAATCCTTATGCTGCTAGTATTAGTAAATAGATACAAACGTATACCATATGTACTTGTTTTGAAATTTTTTTTGTTTTACTTTTCATCAGTTACTTCCTGGTTTCTATGCCTAGGCAAATGATGTCATACATCCCAGGAGTCTTCAGCAAGGGAGTAGAGGCGTTTAACAGCTAAGCACAGCCTCCTGCATGCATGCCTGAGCTAGGGGGATTCCAGAAAGCAAATGCTACATGAACCATCTGCCCTTACTTAAGATGGCCAAATTAAAAAATGATGGGGGTGTTTTCAAAATGGTTTCTCAACAAAATAAAGACTGGAGACATGAACGGATGGGAACATTTGCTTTGAATATTAAAAATGAATTAAATAGTGTTTTTGATTTGTGGTGATTACATGCAGTGTAGTTCCACTTTAAGTCATCCTTTATATTTGCCCAGCGTAGACAAAGGTAATGGTCACTTTAATAAAACAATTTTCCCCCTGAGAGCCAGGAATTTGTCAAACCTTTAAGGCTAAAACTACCCAAGCGATTTATGATCTCACAGACTGAAAAAATCTCCTAGAGATTAGAAGGCTTTTTATGAGTGACCATCACAATACTTATGTTTGATGAATCTCCAAAAAATTATTTAATGACAGCATTTCCTGTTTGCCAGTGATAATTGAAATTCTGTAATCAAGTAGCAGTTAGCTGTTCTGTGTCTTGACTCCCCTAGTGGAGACTTTGGTGTATGAGCAACAAAATGGCTGTGCATGTAAAAAAAACAAAACATCCTTTCCTAGGAAGCATTTCTGCAAAATTTATACGAGTATTCCCTGTTACAATATCACCAGATGATATCTTGGAGATCATGTACAGTTGTGTTCAAAATAATAGTAGTCAGACATCACTAACCTGAGCAATCACTGTTTTTGGTAGAAATGATATTTCTACATGGCAAATAATTTACTAGCAGGTGTAGTAGAGTAATAGAAATCCAACAGACCCAACAGTCATGACATGCATGCTGCTGATTCTGTGTAATTGAATCACTAATTGAAAGGGGCATGTTCAAAATAATAGCAGTGTGGAGTTCTATTAGTGAGGTCATTCATTCTTTGAAAAAACAGGTGGCAATTATTGCCCTTATTTAAGGAAGGAAGGCAGCAAATGTTGTACATGTTGGTTACAGTGCATTTCTCTCTGAAATTCTGAGCAAAATGGGTCGTTCCAGACATTGTTCAGAAGAACAGCGTAGATTGATTAAAAAATTGATTGGAGAGGGGAAAACATATAAAGAAGTGCAGAAAATGATAGGCTGCTCAGCTAAAATGATCGCAAATGCTTTAAAATGGCAACCAAAACCTGAAAGACGTGGAAGAAAGTGAAAAACTACACTTCAAATGGATAGAAGAATAGCCAAAATGGCAAGGACTCAGCCAACAATCAGCTCTAGGAAGATCAAAGAAGGTCTAAAGTTACCTGTGAGTACTGTTACAATTAGAAGACGCCTACAGTCATGGCCGAAATTGTTGGCACCCTTGATATTTTTCCTGAAAAAATCAAGTATTTCACACAAAAAAGGTATTGCATTAACACATGTTTTGCTATACACATGTTTATTCCCTTTGTATGTATTGGAACAAATATAAAACAGAGGCAGAAAAGCAAATATGACATAATGTCACACAAAACCCCAAAAATGGGCTGGACAAAAGTATTGGCACCCTTAACTTAATATTTGGGTTGCACACCCTTTGGAAAACATAACTGAAATCAGTCGTTTCCTATAACCATCAATAAGCTTCTGACACCTCTCACCCGGAATTTTGGACCACTCTTCCAGGTTTGCAGAAACAGCTCCAGGTCTCTTCTTATTGGATGAAGGACACCTTTTCCCAACAGCAATTTTAAGATCTCTCCACAGGTGTTCAATGGGGATTTAGATCTGGGCTCATTGCTGGCCACTTCAGAACTCTCCAGCGCTTCTTTGCCATCCATTTCTGAGTGCTTTTTGACGTATGTTTTGGGTCATTGTCCTGCTGGAAGACCCAGGATCTTGGACGCAAACCCAGCTTTCTGACACACTGGGCCCTACAGTGCGACCCAAAATCCTTTGGTAATCCTCAGATTTCATGATGCCTTGCACACAGTCAAGGCACCCAGTGCCAGAGGCAGCAAAACAACCCCAAAACATCATTGAACCTCCACCATATTTTACCGTAGGTACTGTGGTTTTGTGTTCTTTGTAGGCCTCATTCCGTTTTCGGTAAACAGTATTCCTATGATGTGCTTACCGAAAAGCTCTATCTTGGTCTCATCTGTCCACAAGACGTTTTTCCCAGAAGGCTTTTGGCTTACTCCACTCAAGTACATTTTGGCAAACTGTAGTCTTGCTTTTTTATGTCTCTGTGTCAGCAGTGGGGTCCTCCTGGGTCTCCTGCCATAGCGTTTCATTTCATTTAAATGTCGACGGATAGTTCGCGCTGACACTGATGCTCCCTGAGCCTGCAGGACAGCTTGAATGTCTTTGGAACATGTTTGGGGGCTGCTTATCCACCATCCGGACTATTCTGCGTTGCAATCTTTTCATCAATTTTCCTCATCCGTCCACGACCAGGGAGATTAGCTACAGTGCCATGGGTTGCAAACTTCTTGATAATGTTGCGCACTGTGGACAAAGGCAATCTAGTTCTCTGGAGATGGACTTGTAACCTTGAGATTGTTGATATTTTGCCACAATTTTGGTTCTCAGGTCCTCAGACAGTTCTCGTCTCCTCTTTCTGTTGTCCATGCTTAGTGTGGCACAGACAGACACACAATGCAAAGGTTAAGTGAACGTCTCTCCTTTTTATCTGCTTTCAGTGTGTGATTTCTATATTGCCCACACCTGTTACTTGCCCCAGGTGAGTTTACAGGAGCATCACATGCTTGTAACATTCTTATTTATCCGCAGTTTTGAAAGGGTGCCAATACTTTTGTCCAGCCCATTTTTGGAGGTTTGTGTGACATTATGTCGAATTTGCTTTCTTTCCTCCCTTTTTTTGTTTTGTCCCAATACACACAAAGGGAATAAACATGTGTATAGCAAAACATGTGTTAATGCAATACGTTTCGTGAGAAATACATGATTTCCTGAGAAATATCAAGGGTGCCAACAATTTCGGCCATGACTGTATGTGAAGCCAAGCTATCTGCAAGAAGCCCCCGCAAAGTCCCACTGTTGAAAAAAAGACGTGCTGAAGAGGTTACAATTTGCCAAAGAGCACATTGACTGGCCTAAAGAGAAATGGCGCAACATTTTATGGACTGATGAAAGTAAGATTGTTCTTTTTGGGTCTAGTGGCCGGAGACAGTTTGTCAGACGACCCCCAAACACTGAATTCAAGCCACAGTACACTGTGAAGACAGTGAAGCATGGTTGTGCAAGCATCATGATATGGGGATGTTTCTCATACTACGGTGTTGGGCCTATTTATCGCACACCAGGGATCATGGATCAGTTTGAATACATCAGAATACTTGAAGAGGTCATGCTGCCTTATGCTGAAGAGGAAATTCCCTTGAAATGGGTGTTCCAACAAGACAACGACCCCAAACACACCAGTAAATGTGCAACATCTTGGTTCCAGACCAACAAGATTGACGTTATGGAGTGGCCAGCCCAATCCCCGGATCTTAATCCAATAGAAAACTTGTGGGGTGACATCAAAAATTCAGTTTCTGAGGCAAAACCAAGAAATAGAGAAGAACTGTGGAATGTAGTCCAATCATCCTGGGCTGGAATACCTGTTCACAGGTGCCAGAAGTTGGTTGACTCCATGCAACACAGATGTACAGCAGTTCTCAGAAACAGTGCTTATACAACTAAATATTAATTAGGTGATTCAAAGGAAAGCAAAATCTTCAAACATTTTTCAGTTTATATAGTGAATGTTTGAGTTTGTAAAGAAGAATACAAACACTGCAATTTTTTTGAACTGTCTAATATTAACTTTTCTTCAATTTTTTTAGAGGAACAACACAAAATTGAAATATTTTCTTCATGTTTTGATTTGGAATAGAATGTGTAGTGTTCCCAATGCATTTGTGTGTATGGAAATAAAAGCTATTAGAAGGATTTTGAGCTTTATTCACTTTTTTGAACGCACTGCTATTATTTTGAACACAACTGTATATGTGAGATTAATTGCACAGCTCATTCATTTCTATGGAAGCAATTAATTGCACATGGTACGTGCAACACAACTGCATTGTGTCACTGCGTGATAATAGATTAGGTGCAAAGTTGCATGACTGTAGATGCTTGTCTAGTACCTCAAATTACTCTGAAAAGTGATCATTCATGGGAGAATTAAGTCAAACATTCATGTGACTGAAGGTCATCTATATAGTCCCAACCTAAGGCATTCCTATGCAAAGGGTTCTAATTATTCCAGTAGGAATGGCCAGGCCTCTGAGTGAATATTTTTCCATCTAGGATGTATTGTTAATCTACAGGTTAGTGCACATCAGACACTCTCCACCAAGAAATATGTACAGTATCAGCTTATCACTGCATATTATAATAA